TATGCTCTTAGTGACACAGCAGTATCTGGTAGTCAGAATACTTTTATTATATTTCCTAACAAAGTTTTATTTTAAAAGTTATTAGTATGACTTACGATTTATCTATCTGTTTGGGGCTTTGTTTTTAGAGTGCGACAGAAAACCATATACAATAATCATCCCAGAATTAGAAATAGTGTTACTCAAAAACTAATGGTAGAGATGAGGCGGACAGTTGTAAAAGTTATCTCCCTTTAAAACTGAATACTGAAACAGTATATTTCAGTGTTTAATATAAAAATAAAATAAAACCAAGAACGAACAATCCAAACCATTAGACAAAATTCGAAGTTCTAAAAAAACTGTCTAGGCAAGATAGTGTAATAAGGCAATATAGTCTAATCAGCATATGGACTGTTCACCGTGTACAAAATACACGACAAACTGTGGTAACAGGTGTCCGGAAGAGTAAGCTTACCCTGCCTGGCGTCACACCCGCCATAGCAGCATCCAAACTATTAGACGAAATCTCGGTAAAATAGCGTGATTGGCCAATTGACTATCGGTATGCAAAATGCACGTGATGAACAGTGTTAACGATGTAGTAGACAGACATTATCAGGGAGATAGTATACGTGTCAATTAAATATATCTAGAATAATAGCCGAGAGAGACATATTATATTTACCAATCAAGTCAATATTCTTTACCAGATAAACAGTTGTTGGTTGGCTCTTTCGGGGATGATTATTTCTATAAACTATCAAAGCGTACAAAATTGTCTTTCTGGCAAGAGGTTTTTAATTATATAAGTATTGCGCTAATTAAGTTAAAACCGAAAGATAACGAAATATATAATATTCTACGTCAGCCATTGTGGTACAATTCAAATATAAAAATAAACAATAAAACAATATTTTTTGATGTTTGGCATCAAAAAGGAATAAAGTATGTTTATGATCTTTTCGATAAAGGTGTTTTTATGACATACGACACGTTCAAATCTATCTATAATTTCTCTCCACACTTTACAGACCTGTATGGATTAAAACAATCACTTCTTGCTAAATGGACTACTTTAAACAACATAAATGCTAAAACAGTAGATGTCAGGTTAATATTACCCATTTACCCTCAAATTATTGAATTTATCTCTATGTTTGATACTGGGGCAAAATATTTCTACACACATTTCTTAGATAAAAAAATTCAAAAAACTAAATCCGAAAACTCATGGGAATTAGATCTAGGAATGAAATTAACTTTAGAAGAATGGGCTCGTATTTACAAGCAAACATTTGATTTCACCGTCGATACTAGGCTGAAATGGTTTCAATTTCGACTCAATAGTAGAATAATTGGTACAAATAAATTTTTAGCTAAAATTGGAATTTTTAAATCAGATTTATGTACCTTTTGCAAAAAAGAAACTGAATCATTAATACATCTTTATTACAGCTGTGAACATGTACAGGTATATTGGAAAGAATTAGGAAGCTGGATTAAACTAAAGGCAAACAATGATTTTGATATCACCTTGATAAAATGTTTATTTGGCATTGATACTGATGATAACAAAATTCCAAATTTGATATATAGTTTAGCTAAGTTACATATATAAGTAGTAGGAAGGGTACTTTGAAGCAATTTTGGAATTCCAGACATTCCAAAGGTCTGACGTCACACATTCCTAAGGTCTGACGTCAGAGCATTCCACAGGTGTTCTATTTATAGGTTGAATATGGTTATTGTTGACTGAACAATGAGGTTATGAATAATAAAAAAGGTATGCAGGTGTTATATTCTTTGATCGTGTTTGACTTTTGTAACGAGGGTATGGGGTCCACGAATTGTTTATTGGAGGGTAGGGGTGGGGGGGAAGATATTTCGCTTTATAGGCAGGTGTGTAGAGGTTACATTGAGTTCACGCCAAGTGTAGCTATACCTGCATTAAGGGACAATGATCTCCGCTATTAAGCTTGACAGTTGAACATGTTGTGATTGTTTATCAAAGGCTGTTTATATCCCACACACCATATCCCCCCCCCCCCACACCGACCCCCCCCCCCTCCCACCACACCCCGTCCTAACCTAAAAAAACCCACTTCACAGGTCTACACTCTTCAATCCGTGTCGATACTAAGAAACCAACAACAGCCTTTTTTTTTTTATAATATTTTATTTAGCCATCGTGTTATATATATATATTTTTATAATGATGGCATGTTCCAATCTGCTAGCTCCCTATAAGTGTCGAGAACGTTGATGATGTTCTTGAACGCAGGGTTCGTTCCCTCAACCATCCTCAACCGTGTCAGTATGTAGTCCGTAAAAGCTAACAATCTGCAGAAAAGAACAAATCAGATAGGTATTGGTAAAATAAAACATACCAAGTAGAAAAAAATCACCAAAAAACTTACGTTTCTTTTTCCTGCTCAGGTGATGGCCTTATAGGGGTTATATATGGGTGGTGTGTCGCCCGTAAATTATTGGCGTCGAACAGAATATCCCTTAGTTGGATAGCTATAGCAGGTGTTCCAATAGCATTGAGACACGGTGCCAATGTACACAGCATTAGGGTAATTATGCTTTTCAAGTAAGCCTGAACCTGGTCAATACTGTACCTTAAACAACAAAAAATATAATATTATAATTTATATTAAAGATATTTTCAAAGTCAAAATATTAATAGGTTGGTTAATACCAATAAATGTATGCCAATTTTGGTGTGTATGGGTGTGTGTAGCTTGAAAAAGTAGAAACATTCGAGTATGATGAAAAGTAGGGTGGGCTGATGCCATGGAGGTACAGTGTGTGGTTCTCTTGCACTTACCATTAAGCATTGCTTTCAACATAAAGTTCACGGTCTCTACGTATATGCATGGTAATATAGCATCTTAGGCTCCTAACCGGGTTAATATTTGTTGAATATGTTTGACAAATATGGTTGCTTAGATATGAACAGTTTTAAAAATAAGCAAAGCAGACGAAAGTCGTATATTAATCTCAATTGTTAGGAGAGCGATTTAGCTAATTTACGCGTGTCTTTAATTACGCACTACAAAGGTCGCCCTACGAAGGGTCGAGTGAAAAAGTAAACATGAAACGCTGTTTTAAAAGTAGGTTTCGAATCACAATTTTGAAGAAATAATAAAAAAACTTACATTTTGAGACGGTCTTGGTTTTCTTTTTTTACAAAGTCGACGAGAGTTGATAATGCTTATTCGTTCAGAGGCGAGAATAATTTTCACAGACAAACGGTTGGTACTTATAAAGAAAAGTGAATACTTTTATGAGCAACTATAAATCGTTGGGAGGGCCGAGTTGTTCTAAGATATTCCTTTTAAAATATTATACATTAAAACTAGACAATACTCCGTTGTGAATAATTTTAAAATAAATATCTCCACTTAAAAATATTATTCATGAAAACTAGTCAAATGTTCATAAAGTTTAACATTAGGTTTTGGCTGTAAAGGAGGGGTCAATTACGCGCCCTGTACTCAGACAACAGCTATAAACTGTCGGTGTTTTTATCAAGTACTAGGCATAACCAATGACGCGAAATAATTGCCAGAAAGCCGTGTGATGTCTGTCGGCGAGCGAGTCGTTGAAAAACCCCCTACTGACAGCGAGTGGTTTAAAAGACCAACCGTCTAGCTACTTGTCAAAGCAGGTGTCAGTGGCTGGCCGTTTAACCTCTAGCCGCGAAGCATGCTACATTGAGTGTGTATATCTCGTAAGACCTTGTCTTTTAGTATACGCCTAGCAATTACTGGGACAAATTCGGAAAATAAGGTCAGTTTTTTCCTTTAAAGATACATTGTTTAAGATTAAGATAATTATTATTATTTTTATTATTCACTCTTTTCGAATTGTTTGGGGTCTCTGAGTACAAGATCTTGTACATATATTTTGTTTTTTATGTAGAATTGTTCAAAGTGTAAATTATAGCCAGGGTTAAAAATTCAGACAATTTCGACAGTTTTATCAAGAAAGTTGTGTTTGAAAAGTAAAATATTATTGTATCCGTAAATCGCAAAGCCGGGTGTTGTTAGGGTATCACTCGATGTGAAGATTATTAGTCCGGTTGTCAAACCTCACCCCCGATGTTTACATTCACGAGGATTACATTAACGATAGATTATTATTTATTAGCGATAGTATTACATTAGTAATAAACGATTGGTCGTTTCTTAAATTAAATTCTTAACAGGTTACGGTGTTAGTTTTGTAAGAGTTTTTGATTGTGAAATTTGAATGTATATAACGTTATCAATTTATGTCGTGGTCATATAGAAAACGCCTGGATAAACACGATACATATACATTACGGTTATGGGGTCGAGATATTTGGGTCGTCGCGATAACCTAGGGTCTGGGACAGTTCTCAATTGTTTGCGAAAATTACTGGATAATCTACCACATAAGTGTTAGATCTTATGAAGCCGGGCCGTTTTTGCTAGATTCTATAAAGTGAGTCTGAAATATATCTCACAATTCACTTGGCGCATCTATTATTAGAAACAAAATAGATCCGAGGAGAATGAAGCGTGAATCACGATGGAGAATTAAGAAGATTGTGAGAAGCCATACGGCTGATTCATGACGAGAGAAAATTACCATTTCAATTAAAACCTTTACAAACAAAATTTTAGAGAGGGTCATTGTAGACTAGCGAGATGTTTTGATAGATTCAGTACGTGGTAACTTAAAAGACTGGATAATCCAGACAATGACAGGCTTTCCGTCAAATTTTGAGGACCCATCCAGACTAATATTCGTAGAATATTTGTTTGGATGATAGAGACAGCTTTACCGTTCGTTCAACATGTAAGGGGAGGTAACTACATTCAACATGTAAGGGGAGGTAACTACATTCAACATGTAACAAACCTTGGAATCACACCGGCTATTATGAATTATCTTCAAATTGACATTTTTTCTAAGTTTGACTTTCTCGGTTCCTTGACCCATCAATCATTATGCAATGAGTTAGTAATACTTACCATCATTATGCAATGAGTTAGTAATACTTACCATCATTATGCAATGAGTTAGTAATACTTACCGTCACGTTCAAGGTGTAAGGTCCCTTGTTTTTAACAAATAGACGTCGTTGTTTTTTTAAAAATCACATGATTCTACAGTCATGTTGTCTATATTATATTCCTTCACTTTATCGTTTTTGGAATTCCACTCCGTCAAGAATAGATAGGGACCCCCTATTGAATCGAAAAAGCTAAATTACGATTTCTTAGCCGCCTCGATGCATTCGGTTTTAGATTTGTACAAAACTCTGGAAGTCGCTAGGGTAATCACACTCTGTTTGAAAAATCCTCTGAATTGCCAGCGAAAACCTCCCGACAAACATGGTTTAATCATTTGCATAAAACTACAGGTTTGATTGTACCTAGTGTGTTCAACGAATGGGTTGTCTCCGGGGTTCCAAGACTTCAATATTAAGTTGCATCTAAAACATTTTACGCGATCGTAAGGTCCAATATAGATAAAGCCAGCCTTGCTCAAATTATGAGGTGTCGGCTGCTTATGCATCCAGCAATTATCAAAGGTGGCCAGACGATCGTTATAGAGTATATAAGGATCCATCTTACTACACCATTTAAAAACCCAACACCTAGATCTAAAAAAAAAAAAAAAAAAAAAAAAAAAATTGTTACAGTCATGTACTTTTGATTATTATTAAAACAAATTTTCTGCTTTCTTAGAATGGATGCGTTTGAAACCTACACACACACTCAATGGGGCGAAATACTACAGATTACAGACGAATTTGAATATTGGACTGCAAGTCAAACCTTGGCCGTTAACGAAGCTCTAGACCACGTCGAGAATGAAAATCATAATGAAACACAGGGGGTTAAGCGGCAACTGTCTGACCCTGACACCGTGGATGCCTCTGAAGAAGAAGAAAGGTTAGAAAAAAAACCCCGACCGGTGGTTAGTCCGATATTATTTTCAGATGACGATAGCGACTTTGACACGTCGCAGGTGAGCAAAAAAACTTTACACGATATTCAAAATAATGTGAAACCTAATTCGTCTACAGAAAGTGAAAAGATCGATCCGCTAATTGCACTATTAACGAGTGACATAACATTGCCTTCTAATATCCAATCTTTAGTGGCTAAGGTTTGTGACGAAAAAGACGACGAAGTCGTCGACATTTTTGATTTGTTAACACCACCGGATTTGTTTTTTTAAATACCATACCAAACCCAATCTCTATTTTTTTTTTTTTTTAAAGATTTGTCAAGTGGGGAGAGGTGGCGAAGATTTAGTAAGGCTGATTTCGGTGGAGCGCCGTTTTTCAAGAAAGTTTAATATCCATTCCGAATTAATGAGAATCGAAATTATAAACACGGAGGCGGTTACCACTCCTGACTGGCTAGAGCGGCTATTCACTCAGATATTAGAGACCGTCAGAGAAAATTTCAATGTTCAGCCAAACGAGAGGGTAAGAATACAACTAAATCATCCTGATTTGGACAACCCCATATATATTGCGTTTAGACCTTACGAAGAACTAACTTTGGAATTAATCTTGGAAGAGATTGCGAAAGTTATGCAGTCAAAAAAAACACTAGTTATTGACAATCAAACTTCTATATCCGTAACCTATGTAGCCTCTAAAGAGGGTGGTGCTTTTACAAATAAGGTTCTTTTGAACGAGGCTTTTATGAGTTCAAAAAAACGAACATTTATATCACCAGTTGCCAACTATGGTTATCAAACTTGTTTCGGACAATCTATCGTCCTGGGTATAAATGAAATTTCTTATCGTAAGAAAATTTCACCGACAGTCGAAGAAACTAAACATTACAAACGTGTAGCAAACAAACGTAAGAAAAAACCGTTACAGATTGCTATGGCTATGGAAATGTATCAAGAGTACGGGGTTAACCCGTTAGTGCCTACAGGTCGTCCTGAATGGTGCATATTCCAAGAACACTTAAAAGCTAAATATCAAATTGTCATCTATGACGCACAGAGTGCAAATTGTGTCATATTCAGAGGTGTTGCGGATCCCAATGTACCCGTTTTAAGACTGTATTTAATGGAAAAACATTTTTATTATATAAAGAAAATCAACAGCTTATTTAATCAAGCATACTATTGTCCAGCGTGTGAAAAACCATATTCGGATAAGAATAAACATATGTGTAAAGCGACATGTCGCAGTTGCCGTCAGCTAGATTCTTGTCCTAGGGATCGACCACGAATACAATGCGAACTTTGCCACCGTTATTTTAGAGGGTTGAAATGTTTGGAGAGACATAACCAAAATGTCCCACTATACACCGTGACGACGTGTGTGAAATATAGGGCCTGTTTAAAGTGTTATGCGACAATAGACACACACGAAGATGACGCAATGAATAAACACACATGCGATGTGCACAAATGTCGTAATTGTGAGCAGCTGTGTAAACCTAACCATAGGTGTTATATGAAACGATTATCGGAGGATGTTGAAGTTGAGACCGTCAGATATTTTGTTTTTTACGACTTTGAGACTATTTTGGATGAAAATAATATCCATGTAGCGATTTTATGCGTTGCACACCGCGTGTGTCCTTTATGTTTGGAGAAAGACATTAACGAACCTTGTGACGGTTGTAACTTAAAGAACGCTCAGAGAGAATGGATTTTTTATGGTAAATATTGCGTCTCTGAGTTTTGTCGCTGGATAGTTCAGACCGAAATAAATGTCGACCTCGAGGGTAAAAAAACTACCGTTCTAACTCACCGACACTCGAGGTTCATAGCACATAATAGTCAGGCTTTCGATGCTCTATTTGTATTGAGATATTTCGTCATACATACTAGAATTCTACCTCAAATCATCGCAAACGGGTCTAAAATCCTTTGTATGACTATAAACAATAATATACGTTTTTTAGACAGCCTGGCGTTTATGCATATGAAACTTACAGATTTTAGCAAAACATTTGATTTACCGATTACGAAGGGTATATTTCCGTATTCATTCCTTAAACCTGAAAATTTGGAATACAATGGTGAAATGCCACCGATAAGCTTTTACGAAACGTCAACTATGTCTCCGCAGGAACGTGATAAGGTTATTAAATGGTATAATGAACGCGTGTTACAAAACAATTATTTTGACACTAAAACAGAATTGACAAACTATTGTGTAAGCGATGTAATTCTCCTCAGGCTGGCATGCGCTCGGTTTCGTAGTCTTTTCATAGAGCTGACCAAAATCTCGCCCTTTCAAAAGGCTATTACGATTGCGTCCTTGTGTAACCTTGTCTACCGGAGAAAATTCTTACCTCCCTTTACGATTGCTATAGCACCCCAGGGTCAGTATGTAGTCGCCCGTCAGTATTCAAATTCAAGTATACGTTACATGCAATATCTGGAATACATTGAAAACCGTCATATACAACATGCCCGTAACGGTGGTGAAAAGGTCATTTTCAATATGTATGTAGATGGGTGGTATATGGAAAATAATACCGAAGTGTGTATCGAATACTTGGGTTGCGTTTTCCACGGCTGTCTCTGTATAAAAAACAGAGAGCGAACATCACCATACAATAACAAAACTATGGCCACGTTGTACGAGGAGCACTTGGCACGTTTGGAACGGCTGAAGGCCCCCAACCGTCGCGTTCGTTGTATATGGGAATGCGAACACCGACAACTCGTAAATACCCCGGCGTATTTAGACTTTGAAACAAGAACACCACCTTTGACGGCCCCCTTGCAAGTACGTGACGCCTTTTATGGTGGCAGGACGAACTTATTAAAATTTTATCACAAGGCCCGTGAAAACGAAAGAATTCGATATCTGGATTTTACGTCACTTTACCCCTTTATCAATAAATCAGCGATTTATCCAGTAGGACATCCCTTGATTATTCTACGGGACTTCTTACCTTTGGAGAGTTATGTAGGGTTTGTTAAATGTCAAATCCTCCCTCCAAGGGAGTTATACATACCCGTCCTGCCGTTTAGGTCCAACGGCAAACTGTTATTTCCGTTATGTTCTAAATGTGCTCTGAATCGTAGCAAGACGGATTGTACTCACAATGCAGATGATAGGTCACTGACAGGTACTTGGGTTATATTTGAAGTTATCGCAGCGATTAAAAAAGGTTATCGCATACTCAAAATCTTCGAGGTATGGAATTTCCCACACACACGCCAATATTGCAGCGGTGACGCCCCGATTGATCCGAAAGACTACGATATTCACGTGTCTACCGTCCGTGCCGACTATACTGATATCCCGGAAGACGATATATTTGCACAGCTACCCAAAAAAGACCTGTTCAGTGAATATATCAACATGTTTCTCAAAATTAAACAAGAGAGTTCGGGGTATCCAAATGAGCTTAATCCTGCGTGTAACTTGTGTGATAATCTAGATACGTGCTGCCATATCGACTGGCAGGTTCTCGAACAAAAACGTTTGGCATATATTAAAGCTTACAAACAACACGAAAACATTACTCTCGATGCAAATAAAATATCTAAAAATCCGGGGCTACGATACTTGGCGAAGACCGCATTAAATAATTTATGGGGTAAATTCGCTGAAAGGTCGGATACGCGAATACAATCTGTTATCACACACGACCCAACCGTCTTCTACGATTATCTTTATGACGGTACAAAAGTTGTCAGGAATATCGAAATTCTCAGTGAAGAAATGGTCCTAGTTCAGTATACAGAGCGGCAAGATCTTGTCGCTAATGCCCCACACGTGAATGTGCCTATAGGGGCTTTCACTGCGGCCTACGGCCGTATGAAACTGTACGAATATTTAGATAAATTGAACCATCGGGTTCTGTATTTCGATACTGATTCCATCATTTTTACAGAGACCGATAATGACACGCCTGTTGCAACCGGTAATTATTTAGGCGAATTTACGAGCGAAACGTCGCCTGACTGTCGCATACTTGAATACGTCGCCACTGCCCCCAAATCCTACGCTTTGAAAATTGAAAACGAAAAAACACGTGAAATCTTTTATACCATTAAATCTAAAGGTATTACGTTTAACCACGATGTCTGCCAACGTATCGAGTTTCAAACGTTTGTCGAATTAGTGCACGATCACTGTCGTAAGGTCAAAGTCACATACCCGAAAGCTTTCCACCGCAGTAAAGTGTTTGTGGTTTCTATGAAAGAGAAGTCGAAAACCTTATCATTCAATTACGATAAACGTGTAGAAATTAGGGATTCCTATGATACAAAGGCTTATGGTTTTGTCAAGCAAAACGAATAGTGATACGTATGTCTGTATATATATATATATATATATATATATATATATATATATATATATATATATATATATTATGATTGTAACTGTAATTACGTATAGTGTAACACCATTTGTTGATAACCCTGTGCATATGTGATATAAAAAATATAAAAAAAATAAGACCTTGTTTTGTTTTTTCTAAAAAAACCATTTTATTCAACTATTCTACATCTAGAGTTACATTTTAACATACATGAGGTCATACAGATATGGACATTTACATTTTAAATCTAAGAGCAATAAAACGCCGGACATATCTGTCGTTTTCACGGTGATTTCGGGAAAATGTTTTTATAATTCTTTTCATGTTTTTACCTCTACAGCGATGATAGGCATAAAATACACAATATTGGCCACATACGTCACTGAACAAGTCCTGTAGATGCTTCCGGCTGTATACGAGTGGCAACCCCGTTTTCATAATCCTTTGCATAACGCCATTATGGCGGGGTTTAAGGCCAAAGGAATCAAAGTGTTCAACCTCATGGTGACCCACATAAAGAAGTAACCAATGTTCACCCTTCTTATTGGATGTATGGGTATTGTAAATATATAGTCCACGCTGTAACGTCTTGGGTAGTTTGTCACGGGCAAAAACACCTCGAAAATGAGGGGCTATTTGGGGGTAGCTTTTTAACATGACTGTGATATGTTTTGTATTCATCTCAAAAGTCTGTTATAACATTTCGAGCACTGTCTATTTCTATCTTGTTTTCAAACTCACTGTATAGAATCACGTTCACCGTAGATACCAAGGCTGTCCCGAATCGTATTTCGAGTTTCGCATTACCCGTTCTGTTGAGATGTACAGTATTGTCGTCAGAAAGTTCTGGGGTGTAATCAAAACAGAATATGCAGTAGCCGTTTCGATAACCATTCATCGTAATGGTGGGTCCTTTGTCCTGGAAAAGACTAGACGTCCCGGAAAATAAGGTGTTGAAAGCTCGTGTATAACCGTAACCTAGGGTTTCGCTGAAATTCGGACTCAGTGGTTTAGCGAAGACATCCTCCCCATTAACCTGGAGCGATATATGATTTATGTCAAAATTCTGCAGGCGATAAGGATTTTTATCGGCGACTCCTGAAAAGGCCTGGTTCGACACCAGAGCTACGAGAACTCGTCGAGGTGTTTGTCCTAAGAACAGATTATCCTTATCCAAACTTCAATTCCCCGCAGGTATAGTAAAGCTTTTTACATCTACGCGTCGAATAGGATAAATCGCATTTCGTTTCATCAAGGCACTGGCATGTGCGACTATGACGGAAGGGTTCAGCTTTAATCTACGTATAAAAAGCGACGCTTTTTCGATCACCACTTTAAAATCATTCGTGGCTGCCATGAGACAAAAGGCATCTTTAGAACGTACAAATCTAAGTCTCATATCAACTCCATTTAGTAAGTATTTACTCTGACTAAACAAATCCAGGTGTAGTTTCCCCAGCATATCCACAGATTTACTACCTTTGAAGGATTTGGCTCGAAACTTGAAACCATTATTACTGCCGCCGTCGGAGGCGTCACAACTTTCGAAATGCCCGGGGGTGTCTAAACGCCACTGGCAAGATAATAAATGTGATTTTTGAGCATCCGTCCCATAACTCAAAAGATTCTCCAAATAACATCGGTAGGGATTGACGGCCGCTGGTTGTGATACTCTCTTGCCATTTAACGACACATCGATTTGACTAAACAGACAGTGTAAGAAATTATTCACAGGGCCCACGTTAGCGGCATCTGCTATATTCGTGCCATCTGAGTTTAAAATTTTGGCTCGTACGGTAAAGAAACTCTGAGCTAGATCTAAATATTCTTCACCTGCCCCCGACATGTAAAATTCGATTGGGGCGCCACTGTCTAGATTAGATATAGGATGATATTCGTGCCATTTCCCACTTTCAATATCTATTTTGGTGTTTGGTGCACTGAAGATATCGAGCCCGCTACTTAGGCATTCACAGGAACGCGGATCGATCATTTTTTTGGGTGGGGGTCTGTAACGGTGTCTGAATTTCAACTAAAAATGTCCGATGAGGTCTGCTTACGTCGCTTTCGCTTCTTACCCCGGGCTTGTTTTAGACGTTTGGCACCTCCTTGCCGAGTAGCCCCCTTTATAGGACCCGCGATGCTCTTGAGGGCTCTTGTACCCAGAT